TGGCGAACAGATTCAATTCTTTGCTAGTAGGATATGTGCACCGCGGATTGTGCAGAGGAAGAACCTCGTTGTGGCCAAGTGCGGGGCTCCTACCATAATTAAAGTGGGTGTTAAGGCAATGAGCCAAGGCACGAGAATTCGAGCAATTGTGAACGAATAGTGCTCAAATAGATGTGCCCTGCTTGAGTAGGGCTGCTAGGTGGCTGCGAGTGAGAGCGGGCTTGTTTTGTTGAGGGAGAGAGCGCGCAACCAGTGGGCACATGCTACGGTCTTGCATGCTTGAGCTGTCACGTCGGAGTGCGAGATGTGGAGCTGGTGAAGCATGAGCGAGAAAATGGGAGGGAGGAGAGTTGCATGAGCCGAGTGGACTTCCAGATACGCGATTAGCTTTGACTATATTGAGCTCAGGTATGACAGGTGTCAGGGGGAGACATGTATGTGCTACAACTGTGGAGAAGTGGGACACTTGAGTATGGCTTGTCCAAAGCCACCCAAGCAGAGAGAGACGGGTGGACGTGAACAGTCTATAGGTTGTGGGGACTAAGGGGTGAAAGAGGAGACTACTAGGCAAATCTGATGGTAGCAAGGAACTAGGGAAAACTAAGGGTAGTCTTTATCAATGAGGATCAAGAGTTATTGGAGATGTTGAAGAGGAAACAGAGAGTGACATGTAATGTGATTGAGGATGCATATACATTATCGTCATCCATGGGGAACACTGCTAGTTGTGCTCACTTGACTAAAGATACTCGTGATACACGTGCTCTTGCCTCTATACCAACCATAAAAACACCAGAATAGGTAGTAGATTTTGGTGCATCTCGACATGTGGCAGGTAACTCTGGAGAGTTCTCTTCCTGTACTCATCTAACAGTTCTAGAGAGCATGATCTTATAACATAAGATGTGATTGGTAATAGTAAAGTGAGAGGCAACGATTCTATGCTTTTGCCCAATGTTTTGCATGCTCCATCTTTTCCAGCGAACCTTTTAACAATTAGTATCATTATTCTTTAACTAAATTGTGTTGTTTCATTTGATATTCCTAAGGTGATCTTTTGAGAGAAGGGAACTGACCAAAGGCTTGGGACTGACACATGGCACAGTGGACTCTGGTATTTGGATAGAGAGAGGATGAACTCAGTCTTGACATCCATGGTTGAGAATGTTGGAGCAGGAGGATTTGAGAGGAGTGTGGATGTATTGTTGCTACATCACAAACACATGAGATACTCTTTATTCAGTCTATTGAGTCGTTTGTACTCAACATTGTATGAAAAGACAAACAAGGAAAAACTGGTGTGTGATGTTTGTGAGTTTGGCAAGCTCACTAGGAGTTGTTATGTCAGTTCCGAGAATAAGAGCTCTGACGTGTTTGATTTGATACATTTTGATGTATGGGGACCCTGTTCTACAAATTTGATGAATGGTTCTAGATATTTTGTGATGTTCATTGATTGTTGTTCTCGTGTTACTTGTCTATATCTGATAAAGAACAAAAGTGATGTGCTTGCTTACTTTAAAGACTTTCACAGGGTGATTCAGATTCAATATGGTATAATAGTGAAGGTATTGGGGTATGATAATGGAACAGAGTATACCAATAAGACGTTTGAGGAACACATGTCAGCTCAAGGGATACAACATCAAACCACATACTCATACACAACAACACAGAATGGAGTAGCGGGAGAAAGAATAGACATATTTTAGAGGTAGCCCGGAGCATGATGATGACAATGAATGTCCCACAACAATTATAAGGCAAGTAGTTTTGACAGTCGCTCAATTAATTAACAGGATGTCTTCAAGAGTGTCAGAGTGGAAGTCTCCTTGTCAGATATTGAAAGGAGACAACAGTGGGATCCTTCCATTGAAGGCATGTAGATTGAGGAAGTCACTGTACGGTTTGAAACAGTCTCCTTGAGCTTGGTTTGACAAGTTCGAAAGAGTAATGGTAGGCATAGGTTATCAGCAGATCAATACCGACAACACAGTGTTTGTTCGACGAAATGGTGGTCACACCACTATATTTGCTATGTATGTGGATGATATGATAGTTACTGGTGATGATGAGAGAAAGATTACGCTGCTAAAGATAAGATTGGGCAAAGAGTTTGAGATGGACTTGGGACTGCTTAAATACTTCATTGGGATTGAAGTGGCTCATGGAGCAGAGGGGATTGTCCTATCTTAGAGGAAGAATGTGATAGAATTGCTCACAGAGACAAACATGGGGATGCAAGTCTACAGTTTCACCAATTGATCAGAAGGGAAAGTTGAGAGCATGAGAGTCAGTTGTTCGAGAGAGGTACAGAGATTGGTAGGTCATCTCATCTATTTAAGTCACACGTGTCTAGACATCTCATTTGCAGTGAGCGTGATGAGCCGCTATATGCATGATCCTATGAAGGGTCATATGGACGTAGTGTATCAGATTCTGAGGTATCTGAAAAGTGCATTGGGGAAGGGGTTGATCTTCAGGAAGAATGGGCATGTAGACATTGAGGGCTATTGTGATGCTGACTAGGCGTGTTGTGCAGATGACAAAAGATCCACCTTTAATGCATGTTCGTAAGGGGCAATCTGGTCTCTTGGAAGAGCAATAAACAATCTATAGCCGTGAGGTCAATAACAGAGGCAGAGTATAGAGCCATTGCCTTAGAAGTTGCTGTGATGATGTGGCTAAGAGCCTTGTTGGTCGAGCTCAAGGTGAATCAAGGAAGTCAAAGGAAGTTTTGGTGTGACAAGTCAGCAATCAACATCGCGAACAACTCGGTGCAACACGATAGAACCAAACATGTGGAAATTGATAGATTCTTCATCAAAGAAAAACTGAATAGCGGGCTATTAGAGCTAAGTCATGTAGCCATTAGAGAGCGAGTGGCCGGCTGTCTCACTAAAGGACTTAATTCATTAGATTTGTCTGGATTATGTAACAAGATGGGCTCGGTGGATATCTTTTGTTCATCTTGAGAGGGAGTGTTGAGATTTGAACCTTATTTTTGTGGGGTCTAATTATAAATAGAAATTATAGAAGAAGACAAGGGATTATTTGTAAAAGGTTTTATATGGCTCTCTAGAAGCCCAACTCTTGAAAGGAAAAAAATTAATTCCTTCAAAATTATTTCTTCATATATATATATAGAAGTTAAAATAATGATACTTTAGATATGATATAAAAAATTTTGGGTGATATGAATGTAGCAAGATATATAAATACGTAACTGGGTGGTGCATATGCAAATGATCATTTATATTATAATATTATGTCCGACATGTATTCGTGTTCTATTATTTCAATAAAAAACCTGTCACGTGCGTGTGCCCGTGCATCATAGTCTATAACTATTTCTCCCTGAATATAAATGATAAATACCTGTTGAACTATATCAAAAGCATCATCAGCATTACAGCTTCCAATTTGGAAGGAGCCACAAGTGCCATGAGGATCTCCAAAACTGGCAACCTGAATAGCAGAAATCTTTTGCGGACCTTCGCACGACAATGTCATGATATTCCCTTCAATCACATTAGCACAAACAGTCCCCACTGTAACCGTTTGAAAGTTCACCTGAGTCGGATCGCCACCCGCTTCCTCGAACAAAATCAATGTGTTAGGCTCACCAGCCTTCAAAAATGATCTAGGAACATGATACCTAGAACCATCGTTTCATAAATTTTAGCTCTTATGAACATATATGGTTTTATTTATTTAGGGACATTTGCGTACATAACATAACACATGATTCTTACGTATTCACCAATCTCATGTCTAAACTTTCATATTTACACACGTAGCACTAAACTATGATCACTTCTTAAAAGTGAAATATGCATTTTCATGCATAGGATCAAAATGCCAACATGCTTTGTATGTTAGAATATGAACATTCAGGCATGAGATACATAAATACATGAGAATTGTGTGCTGCGTATGTAAAATTTCGTGAGTAGTGAAACATACCATCTTTGTGCCGGTTCGCCGCAACCGGTTTGGCAGCTATTGGATTCGAAGGGGCCTCGGTAATCACAAGGATTACAGCCATCAATCCAGGCGGTGTAAGTCGGCCAAAATCGGCCGAGGCTTTGGCCGTTAACCCATGCTGTTCCTTTGCCCATGCCAAGTAAGTCCACCACCACAGGATCAGAACCAAGAGGAGCTTTGAAGATTGTCTGTTATTCATATTAGGCTTAAATTAATAGTTTAGGATTTAGTTCAAATCATTGAGAGTGATTAAGCCAAAGAAAATATAGGCTAGAAAAAAACACAAATTTTTTTTTTTTTGAAAGTTTTACATGCGTACTCCTCAATTCCTATGTATTTACATATCTAACAACTAAACTTGAATTTTTACATTCATACCACCTTTCCTATGTATCTAAATGCCCCGAATTTTTTATACCGATTCACCAGATGACTGCTTTCTATTTATTTATTTATTTGATGCAGTTTCCATTATGATGACAATGACTGAGTTTTATAAGAGAAACTTGTTAGCCTTATGCATTGTCTGCATTTTCTCTCTGTTACGTTAGGAAATTTAAAACAACTAAATTAAGTGTGATGTTTGGTTGCCTTCTTGTATTTCTTCCTAGGGTATTAATTAGGCTTCGTAACTAAATAATACGAAGATTTACATGCATACCACTTGATTCCTCTGTATTTACATCTGTATTTACATATCTAACACCTAAATGTCAATTTTTACATCCATGCCACCTTACATATGCATAAAAAGCTTTATTTTTCTTTTTGGAAGTTAAGATATGTGCTCTGATATTAAAGATTTGGGTGGTATAAATATAAAAAAGTAAACTTTGTGTTAGATATGTAAATACATTGGAATTAGAGAAATTTACATTCATAGCACACAGTTCTTATGCATTTACATAATCTAACATCTAATATTTGAGTATTTTGTAAATATGAAAGTTTAGCTGTTAGATTTGTAAATATGTAAGAATTGTGTGGTATGTATGTATGCATGTAAATGCCCTTAATAACTAATCTAAATTGTAATGAAACTTTACCTTATACCAAGTGAAAGGAGACATTTTTGGAAGTCTGCCCTCTGTGTGCCATGATGAATTAGAGTAGTCAAGATACAATTGTTTCTTCTCCCCATCAAGTCCCACCTACATAATAGTAATAGTTGATTATTAAGTGACAAAATTATGCTAAAATTAATGAAAAATCATTAATTACATGACTAAAGCTCCATTTGGGGCTTATTAAGAAGTTAATGAAGAATAATCTGATATTTCAAAAAGTTGCGGTAGTCATTATAACTTTTTTTTTAAAAAAAAGTCAGACCGCAACTATAAAGCTCCAACCACACCTAGTGAGGAGCGGTGGGAAAACGCTAGTTTCAGCGGCAACTTTTTGAAAAACTTGCCAAAATGCAGTTTACCCAAACGACCAAAACAACGGTGTGGTGTTGCACCATCGCCGCAAGTCTGCGCCAGCAGAGCCTAAGTTTCTTACCTTATAAGACCATGTGTTTCCTGACAAATCAATTGTGTTGTTATAATTTCCAATTAATTTCACTGGACCACCAACAATTCCAGCAGGCATCAGCTCATAGTAAGCACCATAGTTCTGCTCACCATATAAAGCATAATTTAGGTTTAAAGATGTGCTAATTAGCATAAATATTATTTATTAAATATTAAAAATATAAGATATTAAGGAAATATTAATTAAGAAAATAATAACACACCTTGAGACCAACTGTTGCACTCAGTAGTGAGATGATATTAACTCCTCCTTGTATTACAACTTCCTTTTCAAACACAAATGAGAACCTTCCATTGGGGGCATACTCAGAACCTTAACAACAAATAATTAATTAATTAATTAGGGGCATTTACAAACATATCACATAATTCTTACATATTTACATATCTAACACTTAAACTTTCATATTTATATGCATAACACTTGAATCATAACACTTGAATCTTGAATCTCTGACATCATTTCAAAAATATCACTTTCACTAACATTTTAAAAGTGAAATACACATTTTGATGCATATAACGTAAATAGCTAACTTTTATGTGTTAGATATGTAAATGGATAAAAATTGTGCGGTATAAATGCAAATTTTCCAAATTAATGATGCAAGCGCTAGGAGCTATCTGAGTGAGATGATTTCTCAGTACATACCAATGAGATCCCCATTTATAAATGCATGAAGAATATGTCCAGTTGTGTTAACCTGAAGCCTCATTTGTTGAGTTTGTGACAAATTCACACTGACATAATAATTTGCATTAAGTTGAATGCAAATAATCAAAAGCTTGAAAATCATTTCAAATACATTGTTTATGAGAAATGTTGCACCTTGTTATGTACCACAAGTAGTCACTAGCATCCACACTGGCCAATATTTGATCTTTAAGCATATTTATAGTAAAATCGGCCGCGTCGCCATGGAGAGCTTCGCTCAAGTTCTCGGGCTTCCATGACCAGATAAGATTTGTTGGTTCTGCCTCTGCTTGATTCGACTTCTTCACCATGATCGAAGTTTGAACATTGATCTTAAAAGGTCAAAAAAAAAAAATAAAAAACACAACTTTAACATTTACATTAATATCTTCCAAATGCATAGGTAAAGCGATGCATATGTAAAAAATTGAAGTTTTATGTGTTTGATATGTAAATACATAAGAAATGAGCGGTATTTATGTAAATCTTCGTATTGTTTATACCTTGGCAGTGTTGTAAACTTCTTGTTTACAATCAGGAAGAACACTGACAGACCATGCAGGTAAGGAGTAGTTGGCTCCTTCAAAATCTAAGGTGGCATCATCAGTTTTGTTCTTGTTAGCCAAGATGCAGCCAGGTACGACACCATTATCGGAGAATTTTGTAACCTGCAGTTAATTTTTTTTTTGCAAAAGCATTATTTTGGAAAAATTTACATGCAGGTGATGCAAATTTAATGTATTTGCGGCTCAAACACATTAGTTTTGATATTTATATTTATAACACTTCGATGTCACCATCAAACGTATGCATTGAAAATATGTTTCACTTTAAAAGGATGGTGATTGTGCTGTTTTTAATGTATTATACTTAAAATGGTGCTTACTTGAAAATTGAAGTTTAGATGTTCGATATGCAAATACATAAAATTGAATGGTATAAATGTAAATCTTTCAAGCAAAACCCTGAAGAAAACATACTGATAAGCCATTGCCAAGTTCTGTAGTATTTGCAAATCCATAAATCAGTGCTTTCTCCATCTTCTTGATGGCATCATGAAGGTTCTTCAAATGTCCCCACTTTGGTTGTCGTATATTTCCTGACAACATTTTTTTTTTTAATTCCATTTTTAAATTATAAAGCAGCACACAGTCACGGCTGTCAAAACGGCTCATTGTTCGTGAACAGCTCGTGTTCGGCTCGCTAAGAACCTCGTGTACGGCTCGTTCGCTAAGTTAACGAGCCGAACACCGGCTCGTTTTGGCTCAAAATACTATTAATCAATTATATATATTTAAATATATCTTTGATGAGTAGTATTTTAAGAAACTTAATTGGCTATAAAGATTTATAATAAACTATAAGTATTAATTAAGAAAATAGAATAAAAATTATTAAATATATTCAAATGATGTTTTAATATAAACAATAATTTTTAAATCTTGTCCCAATCCTTAATATATCATGGCTACCTGATTAGGGTTGTCAAAAAAACTCTTTATTCGTGAACGACTCGTGTTCGACTCAATAAGCAAACGACTAAGCAAACGAGCCGAACATAAACACGTTTTTTAAGCTCGAAATATAAACGAGCCGAACACAAGCTCGTTTACACCCCTACACACAATTCTTATGTATTTATACAAATCTCATGCCTAAACTTTCATATTTACACACATAGATGTGAGATATGTAAATACATAAATGTTGTGAGCTACATATGTAATTTCCCATGTAAATAAAGATGTCTTATATCTTACCATATTCATCAAGAGGAGCATCATAATCATATGTTGTCGTGATATACGGGCCTCCCGTAGTTCGTCCGAAATTAGTTCCGCCATGATACTAATTGTTATCGAAACAAAAGCGAACAAATATGTTTAATCACTCTAAACTTAAATATAACATTTGAGTGAAATGTCAAAATAGACCCTCACTATTTACATGAGGGCATTTAGTCTCAAAGTTTTTAAAAGTGTCGTAATAGTTCCTCACTATTTTAAAAATGAACTCTAATAGTCCTTCTTGGCGATTATTTTAGACCCAATTTAAAGAGTTTGGAGAGTATTTTGACACTTCTATTATAAATAATCAGAGATTATATTGGCACTCTACTATATAATATTTTAATCACTTTTTTCATTACAACAACTCTTCGCAACGAAAAAAATTTCTATACGAAGTCTGGACGCTCTGGAATAAAATCCTTGTCACGTGAATTTGATTAGATCCACCTAAAAAATGACGAAAAGAAATTAATAACACCCCAATAACATCGCAGTGTTATTTGTGTGGTCCTCCAGACGGCATTATTGGTGTTGATCAACGGTGTTATTGTGGTGTTATTTGAGTTGTTTTGTAGGGTTATTGAAGCGAAATCTCGGTATCAGTGGTATTGCGGTGTTATTGTAATGTTATTAAAGTTGTTTTGCAAGAAAATCAAAATAAGTGTTTTTTCATCATTTTTTAGGTGCACTCTCGCAACGAAAAAAATTTCTATACTAAGTCTGGACGCTCTGGAATCCAATAAAATCCTTGTCACGTGAATTTGATTAGATCCACCTAAAAAATGACGAAAAGAAATCAATAACACCCCAATAACATCACGGTGTTGTTTGTGTGGTCCTCCGAACAATGTTATTGGCATTGATCATCGGTGTTATTGCGGTGTTATTGTGGTATTATTTGAGTTGTTTTGTGGGGTTATTGAAGCGAAACTGCGGTATCAGTGGTATTGCGGTGTTATTGTAATGTTATTAAAGTTGTTTTGCAAGAAAATCAAAATAAGTGTTTTTTCATCATTTTTTAGGTGAGACCAGTCAAATACACGTGGCAAGAAAAAAAATTTTCCTTCAGAATACTCATAAAAATTTTGGTGGTTAAAATATCATATTTAAATTTTGGGGCGGTTGGTACATAAAAATCCTTTTTTTTTTTCAAATTTCCTTTTGAAAAAAGAAAAAATACCATATAATAATTTTGAAGCAACTCTTCGCAACGAAAAAAATTTCTATACGAAGTCTGGACGCTCTGGAATAAAATCCTTGTCACGTGAATTTGATTAGATCCACCTAAAAAATGACGAAAAGAAATTAATAACACCCCAATAACATCGCAGTGTTATTTGTGTGGTCCTCCAGACGGCATTATTGGTGTTGATCAACGGTGTTATTGTGGTGTTATTTGAGTTGTTTTGTAGGGTTATTGAAGCGAAATCTCGGTATCAGTGGTATTGCGGTGTTATTGTAATGTTATTAAAGTTGTTTTGCAAGAAAATCAAAATAAGTGTTTTTTCGTCATTTTTTAGGTGAGACCAGTCAAATACACGTGGCAAGAAAAATTTTTTTCCTTCGGAACACTCATAAAAATTTTAGTGGTTAAAATATCATATTTAAATTTTGGGGTGGTTGGTACATAAAAATTCTTTTTTTTTTAAATTTCCTTTTGAAAAAAGAAAAAAGAAAAAATACCATATAATAATTTTGAAGCGTGCCACCGGACTGAAAGAAGCGTGCGACAGAAAAAGCTAGATCTTCAGCAAGTCTGTGGGGATCAGGTTTATCCCAAGCTTTAAACCTAATAATACCCATTAATTATAATGATTAATTATTTAAAAATTAAGTAAATATTAATCAAATTAATTAAAAATACTAATTATTAAAATTTCTTATTTAAAAGCTCACCATCCCGTCCAGTTTTCTGTCCACAACTTCGGACTTGTGGAGTTATTGGGCTCGAAGCTGTCGCAGTAAAATCCATTGCATGTATTGATCTGTTAACCACGAAAAGTTATTGTGTACATACACTGCATGTAGAGATGCATGCCGTGTCTGATTCTGACCGTAGATCAAGATGATTTACGGTTATGATGTATTTCAGTGGGCCCCACTTTAAAAAAAAAATTTCTCAAAAAAAAATTTAATTGCATCCTGGCCCTGATCTACGGTCAGGATCGGACACCGCATGCATCTGCATGCGGTGTATGTATGCAATAATTTTTCGTTAACCACACCATTAGAAAGCATGAATTACCTATTTTTAATATTATTAAAATATTTTTATAATATGTTTTGAAAAAAAAAATTAATTTTGATTAAAACAAATCTCAATAATTATCAGATCATCATCTTTTTTATTAAAAATGGGATTATTACATATGCGCCCGAATATACATTTACATACCAACTTATTCATATGTATTTACATATCTAGCAATATAACCTTCACATTTTTGCATTTAAACCAACCAAATCTTTCACATCACATTAAAAATATTACTATTTTAACTTAAAAAAAAAAGTGAAACGCACAATTTCATAGCGTATATGTAAAAATTGAAGTTTAGATGTTAGATTTGCAAATACATAGGAATTAAGGCTCCGTTTGGGGCAAATGCAGTCTAGAAATATTTATTAAGAAGATACTATGAAGCTGCTAAAGAATTATCTGATATTGTAAAAAAATTGAGGTGTCTATTATAATTTTTTTTTAAAAAAAGACAGACTGCAGCTAGAAAGTTCTCACTGCACCTAGCCAGGAGCAGTGGGAAAACACTGGTTTGAGCGGCAGCTTTTCGAAAAAGCTGCCAAAACACATTTTACCCAAACGGCTAAAACTATGATGCGGTACCGCACCGCCGCCTTACCGCTGCACCAAATGGAGCCGAAGTGATATGGATGTAACCATTCCAAGAGAAAATATGTGCTTTGGTATTATTGTAACTATTCTAAATAATAATAATAATAATAATAATAATAATGTGGCGTACCATAGGTTGAGGGGCATCTGGTTGTTGGCACATAATCCATGGAACATCAATTTGATAAGATTCTGCTAGCTGTGCGCACCAATTGATATATTGCTTGCCAGCATCACCATATGGCCATTGAATATTCCCATATTCATTTTCAATCTATATAAATACATTATTTTACATTATTTATTATAAAATTTATTTTTATAATTAAAAAAATTATTTTTTTTTACATAAATATACCTGAGTAATTATGATTGGACCACCTTGTGGTGCCAAGAGGCTTTCTTGCTTGACCATGTTCACAATTAGTGTTACAAAATTTTGCATTTCATCCTAACAAAATAAATAAATACCATATTAATTATGTAATTCTATAAGAGCGTAGTGCCAAAATGGCCCACGACTATTTACATCAGGTAATTTTAGCCTCAAAATTTATAAAAGTGTCCACATAGTCCACAGACTCTTTAAATTGGGGCTAAAATAGACTTCATAGAGAACTCGTTAGAGCATCGTTTTAAAATAGTTTGTGGATTATTTTGATACTTTTAAATAGGGCCCATGTAAATAGTCTGGGAACTATTTTGGCCCATTACTCGATTTTAAAATCACCTTAAAAGGCTGGTTATTAGTCCTCATTTGTAGGCCTGGAATCTGACGCAACCAAGCTGGCAGCCCACTGTGTTAATAAAAATAAATAAATAAAATTAGCAAATATTTTATTTAAATTAATAGTTTTATTTATTTTTTTTAAATAATTAAATAAATGGATTCATATGTATAGTTACCCATAGTTCCATTCAGCACAAACATAAGGGCCAATGCGAAGTATAGCATAAAGTCCAGCATTTTGAATCTCCTTCATGAATCTAACCAGATCTAAATTCCCCTCGAAATTATACTGCAATACGTCATATAAAGATAATTTATTAAATTATTCTCATCAAAAATTGATTCCAAAAATAAGTGTATACATGCGTGCGCTTGTGTGTGTGGGTGTGCTGCATATCCGGGTCTGTTGGTTGGCATCCACGGTATATGACCTTTCAGGTCGGGAGTTTGAATTCCCTCTGACACAATTAGCCTTAAGAGGTGGTACTTGAATTGTTATACACATTAGAGGTGGTTGGAGGCTCGTATCATAGCCTCAGGCCATCCGCTTACTCAGATCAGCTGGTCAGGCATCTACTTGTCAGCTGTAGATTCCCTTTGGCCTGGGGTTCAATTCCCCTGAGTGTAGGGTGTTGTGCTCGAATTATAGGCGCATGAGGAAAGATTGGAGCTCGTATCATAGCCTCCAACCTTTCCTTTTAAAAGTATATATATATATATTATTCTAAGTGGGACAAATTAGACCTTTCCTTTTAAAAGTATATATATATATATATATTATTCTAAGTGGGACAAATTACCTGACGTCTTTGAGGCTCATGAGCATTCCAAAAGACATATGTCTCAATTGCATCAAGGCCTCCTTCCTTGGCCTTCTTTATCAAATCAGGCCACATCTAAAATATGTAAAAAAATGTTTATGCTATAATCTTCCCGAGGAAGGAAAATGGTAAAAAAAGAGACATTTATATACAAATATACCACAAGTCTTATATATTTACATATCTAATATATTAAGCTATATATTTATATGCATACCCCTCAAATTTCTAACATTGCCGAAATTGACCCTTTATGTATAGGTTGATAGCATGAACATGGGCTAAAAAGGTAAATATTAAACTGTAGAGGTTAGATATGTAAATACTAAATTTCTCTTATGTGAAATGTGTAGGATACTATAACTTTTAATAATAATAATAATATATAAATCAATTCAGTATGAAAAGAAAATGTAAGAAAGATTTACATAAACACCATAGTTTAATTCCTATGTATTTACATAGCTAACAACTAAAGTTTAGATTTTTACATCTATACCATTTTAAGCTATACTTGATAAAGGTGTGTTTTACTTTATAAAATTTAATAATAATGATAATATTAAAAATATAAGGGTTATAAATATATATATATACACACACACACACATAGGGGTAACGAACCGAGCTTGAATGAGCCCAGTCTCGACTCTGTAAAAAATATCACCATTTATGTTCGGCACATTTATAAGTTGAATGCAAAAAAAATGTTCGTGTTCAACTCAATTACTTAGCGAACCGAACACGAATTGTTGGCGAACAAAAAACTCATTTTGACAGCTCTAATCACAAAGCCGTAAGATGTCAAGAATAGGAGCGAGATTTATTTATATTAAAATATACAATTAAATGGAATTTAATATGATTTTATTTAATTATTTTAATTAATAAACTTAACGTTGTTCTAATATCTCCGATCAAAAAGGGCCGAACACGAACAAAAGAAATCATTATTCGTGTTCAACTCACTCATATATCGAGCGCATATAAAAAAAAAAAAAAGAAATTTGTGCCCAGCTCTTTTGCTTCGCGAATGAATCAAACACGAACTAATTAACAAGCCAAACACGAACTATTCGAATTCATTTTGAGAGTCCGATAAATACCTCCGGAGTGCTTCGGGGATAGTGAATGGAGCCCGAAAACAAAACTCTACGCTGGCCATCAATTAAAATAGCTCTACCGTCGTGCGAAACCTGCGTGCCAAAGACTGCTGAGCTGCACAGAAAAGCAAAGACTATCCCCACCAATATCAAACAATTAGCCATTATTATTTCACTTCTTCTTCTTCTTCTCTCAAAACTTAATCAATCTCTCAAGACAACTCTATATATATAAAACAGAGACATAGCCGCATATAGTTCATTTAGAGCAAATCTCAACAGAATGTGTTTGAATTTTGAACTTCAACGTTGAAACTTAACAGAAAAAAGCTTATCCAATGCTCTATTTCAGTTGTAAGTGCTCATGCCTTTATCTTATCTTTCAGGAAGATTTACATATTTAGCCCTCAATTCTTATGTATTTATGTATCTAATACCTAAACTTCCTAGTTTTATAAAAGTACCACCTTATGGATAAAATTATAAAAATTAAAGTATAATGGATAATTATATTTCGTTTTCATAAGCAACACATCCAATCAGTGCTACCTTTTAGCCACTTTCATGATTATAGTGTAAGAATCCATGTTCTAACCATTTTAGACTGAACTTATCTAAAATTAAATGAAAATTTTATTATTGTTTTATTAATATAATAGTTAC